AAAGCTATGCCAGCTCAACCAGACAGCAACACATCTCATACCATCTCTCTACTTGGAAAGAAATGGGAAAGAGGGAAAAGGGTGACCTGTAACTGTTGTGCTTATGCACCCTGAGGATGTAAAAACTGTCACGGCTACCAAGAGCTTACAAGACACATTCTGACATTGGGAAATTTTTAATGAGAAGAAAATCTAAGGAAAAATCCATAAATAGGACCACACTTCCTAAAGAGCATTCATAGTGGCAAACTAAAAGCCTGTACAGACTCCAGACTCTCAAGTGATTTGCCCATCTTTTTAGTGACACAGTGACTGCTTCCTTCCTCCTAAGGAGTCTTAACCTGTGTACAAAGACCGCCCAATACCTGAAGGTCGCTCAGCAAAAGTCTCCTCAGCTCCCAGCTTTCCCGAGGGCTGGGGAGTGCTTCCAGGACGGTGCTGAGGGAGCAACTTCCCAGACGCTTCTCTGACGGGAATACCCGCTCCATTTGCTCTACTGCCAAAGCTGACTATACCTGTCGCTCACCTGTAGTACACAGCCAGGTGTCCTTCCTCGATCTTGTGGATGGAAGCGTAGAGGAGGACAACTACCAGTCCCACCACTGCAGCCACCAAAACCCGGGCTTGAGTCATGTTCATCCTTGTTACTCCTGGGTGAAGGGGGAAGGACTCTCAGTCTCCACGAGTGAGTGACAAGCCCGCCCATTCAACTTCCACCCTCTCCTTCTACAAGACCTGGAGCCCTCTCTCGCGGGCTGAGTCGGGGAATGCTGTCTTCTCCCCTTACTCTTCGCTCTTGGTAGAGCCTACATTCTCCTAGCCAGCCCCTCCGCTCGGTCGGCCCGTGCCCGCAAAGTAAGCGTCGTGATACCCTTCGTCCAATTGTTACCACCAGGATAGGAAGCACTAACTGAGAAGGGGCTCAGCAGCGAGCACCGAAGAGAGGTCGACCCCTCCACCGCGCCTCACCGATCAGTGACGCATCGCCTCCGCCCGCACGTGCAGCATCCGCTCCGGTAAGGCGGCTCTAACAGCTAGCACTCGCCGACCCCGCCCACTCTCCCAGCACTGCGGCTGCGCGAGGACGCACGCACGCACACAGATGCGACGCCCCGCTCCCGCCCGCGGCCATTGAGACGGGGTGCGGGCAGGACAAAATTCTACCAGGCACCATACCGCGCAAACTTGGAGACCATTTGGCTGCTTCTCTGGCACTTCTGATCATTTGCTCCAGTCGAGGAGGAAAGTTGATATAGTAAGAAAGGAGGCAGAGGAAAAGAGAGGGCCGGTTGGACAGGGGATGAATTTGTTCTTGTACAAAGAACTCCTTCACTTGTTTGGTAGCTACTTTTATTTATCTTTTGGAGGCTTATGCTGAGCCCTGGTTGTGTGACAAGCATGTGTGCATCATGCACAGAATCTGTATTTTAGGAATCTGTACTTATTGCAAAGAAAAGTGCTATGAAAGTTCAGAAGGGAAAGATGTTCGATCCAACGGTATCATCACTTTTTTTTTTTTTTTTTTTTTTTTTTTTTTTCGGAGTGT